GGGCTGAGAAACAGATGGGAGAGTGGCAAGGTCAAATGGCTTGTATGGGAAGAGGAATTTGACCAATTGCAGATGGAAGAGTGAAAGCATCGGGTGGGAAAGAGGGGAGGAGAATAAATGAAAGATGCCTAAAGGGAAATTGATATGACATCTGGGAGCACATCTTAGAATATGTTTAAAGGAGGACTGTGAAATTAGATTGCCTGGGTGTGCATTGTGGCTCCTTTACTTATATCTGTTAGACCTTGGGCAAGTTACGTAGCTTTATGTCTCAGTTTCCTCATCTATAAAATGGGGATAATAACATAACTACTTCATAGGGGTATTGGGAGAATTAAATGAGATAAGAGGTAAAGAATTTAGACCAATGCATGCCACAGAGACATTCAATAAATACTAGTTTTATCATTATTATTACTCTTATATATTTGTGAAAAAATATCAATTCTATGCTAACTAATTACTAAAATTATATGAAGAGGTTTAAATACTATTGACTGACTAATGGAACATTTCTATCTCTTATTACAGGATTTATAAGCCAAAAATATTATTCAGATTGGTCAAAATAAATTTGCTACGGCAACACCAATCAGTCCCTTGCAGTTTACTCTTTCCTTTGTCATTTGTACATTTCTGGCTTCAACATCTGCCTGCCACCTTCCACTTCTCTAGTACACAGGAGTGTGGACCATTAGGAGATAACTGTGCCTTTTTTTTTTTCTTGAGACAGAGTCTCACTCTGTTGCCTGGGCTAGAGTGCCGTGGCGTCAGCCTAGCTCACAGCAACCTCAGACTCCTGGGCTCAAGTGATCCTTCTGCCTCAACCTTCCGAGTAGCTGGGACTACAGGCACGCGCCACCATGTCTGGCTAATTTTTTCTATTTTTTTTTTAATTGTTTGACCAATTTCTTTCTATTTTTAGTAGAGACGGGGTCTCGCTCTTGCTCAGACTGGTCTTGAACTCCCGAGCTCAAGCAATCCTCCCGCCTCGGCCTCCCAGAGTGCTAGGATTACAGGCATGAGCCACCACACCTGGTCAACTGTGCCTTTTTTTAAGTGTAATGTTAATCTCATTAGAAATTACAGCAAAGAGTAAAACAACATGGATATTTAATAACCTTTTGTAAGAGTCATTAAGTTATAAAAATACTATCATCTGTAGCAAAGGGTATCAGATTTGGCAGAAATTATTAAAACTTACAGATCAACCCTACTTTTTTTGATTCTCTATTATACTTTTCAGTTACAGGCCATTATTTTCCAAATGTAACTTCTAGTTATCAACTTAAAGGTTGATCTGAATTTCTATTATTCTTTCTTCTATTCATCTACTCTTCCTGAGCACACAAACGGGCAATGAAATGCCTGAAATGTGTGAAGGAAAGAGAGAAGAAAAGAATCTCAGAAGTGAACGAGCAACTAGACTTGGAATAATTGAAAGTTGGCTGTAAGTGTTATATATTATTTTCTATGAGTATTATGGAACATATAGATATAATATTTTATTGTGAAACTATTTGTGTACAATTTGAAATTGATTTTGTGGTAAATACATGATTGACAGTGTGAAA